ACCATTATAGATACTTCCAATCGAGACTGGAGTGGGGGCTGAAATTCTTATTGCTCTCGTATCACCTTCTTCATCCTCCATGATTCATTTTCTTCTCCAAAAAAAAACATCGATTAACGGTCATTCTTTCACTCATAACAATTTTCTATTCAATCTAAAAGGGATGAACCACCCGTTGTTGACGAGCTCAATTTATTTTACCAACAAGATATCAATACGATATATAATGAATTTTTTATAAGTGTGCAAAAGTTTCATGATCATAAAAAAAACCCACAAATCTCATACAAAGTAATTAGCAGAGTTCAAGTGATCTTGCAATAATTTATGCCATCTTTAACCTATCCATTTTTTCATAAAATAATGCAACTTAAAGGATTTGAAAGGATAATAGGTTGCAAGTTGATATAGTATTGGTATGGAAACCCTTGGTGTGAGCCACATAGGAGGACAAATTGATTTATTTGTTTTGTTTTTTAGGCTGAAATTGGTTCCTATCTCTTCATTACCGTAATTTGCAATTCCAAATATAATCATGTATGGTGGTGTCATGTCATGTCATGTGATGTGATGTAGGGATCGTAAACTGTGGACCATTTGGTTGTTTAGCACTCATTGATCTCTATGGTTTGTACTATAGAGTTTTGAGATATCCCATGCCTGGATATCTTTCATGCCATTTTTGCTTCATTCTACCGTATCAAATGAATTCAGCCTTTTAATTCCCAGTGTTGGTCACCAGTCCCAAACATCTGTAATTTAATTTGATATAAAACCTAAAATAGCATCCAACATGAATGAATTAAGTGATTTTAATAGTTAAAAAATCGTTATTATTCAAGATATTTGGGTATTTATTATCAAATAATTAAAATATATTCAAATCGATACTATTTTGTTAATAAAAAATTGTAAAATGACCCACCAAGTTTGTAAGTACAGTTAAATTGGCCTCTGTATTATTTTTGTTATATTAACGGTTTTTTTGGTTATATTTACTTTTTTTTCTTTATCATTAATCTTTGAATTTGATAAACTTAAATTAGGCAGTTTTTTATTTTTATTAGTCAAATGAATCCCTAAATTTGATAAATTGTTATAAAAAATCACGAGTTAATTTAATTTGATAAAATAATTAAGAGACAAATTGTATCTCCTCTTCTCAAACAAAAAGAAATTAAGAGATAATTTAATAATAAAATCCGGATCATTTCAATCAAACTAGTCAAATTTACAGGTGATTTGTTTGTTTAAGCCATTAATTTATCATCTTTGCTTTTGTATATAGTTTAGACAATGTTAGAAGCAGGAATTGTAAGAAGTAAATAAACAAATAAAAGGTGTAGACAATTATATTAGGGAACTCCATATAGGATCATTAAAGCACAATATGATACTTCAAATATCTTTTTTTATCAGGTTAGGGTGCTTATAATGTAGTATATGTTCTAAATACTCTCAATTATTTAACAATGAATGTTCAATCACCCATGCTACAATCGTTAGTGCTTAAACTTGAGACCTTTAGAAATAATAATTATTTTTTTAATCACTTGATGATTTGATTCGTGCAGATCAAATATCTTAAATTGTTTATAATTAAAATGATTTTATGGCATACTAGATTAGGGTGGGTATGAGATTTTTGTCACATTTGGTAAATAAATAATAGTGTAGGGAAAAAAACTTAATTACTATATAAAATTTATAATAGTTTATATAAATTAAAGCAGTATTGGCATAAATTTTAAATTTTTAAAGTGATGAATATGAGTAAACTTGAACAAAACATCATATATATCTAAAAATAAATAATATTTTCTATTTTGTTCGAATCAAATTTTGATATGATTAAATATTATTTAATGAGGAATAATTTATTTATTAAAATATGGGAAAATTAATATTTTAATTAAATGAAACAAGAGTGTGATGTCCGATGCATAAATTATGGGGGCCATATTCTCGGTAAACTAGAGGGGTGTGTGAGCTCCAATATGCAGAACTCTCGGTCGCACCATGATGTCTACCATAGAATAGAGAGTGAGTATACGAGTATAATCACTAAAGTAGAACATAACAGAACAGTAGACCAGATAGCTTGAGCATTTCAGTGACTAACTTTTAGTATGTTTTAGTTGTTAGTATGACGCTGAGTTAATTAGCTGAGCCTTCAGATTGTTTTTCGTGGCCAGATCACTAGATTGAGAGTTCGATGAGTACATAGATCAAGGTCCAAACTCGGTGTAGATTCAGAGTACGTCTCAACAGTTTTTGAAGAGCATATATATTTTATAAACCTTGTTGTATCAGTTGAGGAATAAATTTTATTAAGAGTCAGTTTTAATATTTTGATTGTAAATATTTATTATGGGAGCTCCTTGCTATAAAGTTTTAAATTATATTATTTCTTGGATTTTTATTTGTGGAAATAGTCGTTTTATAGTACAAGAAAATAGTAAGGTGTTGGTCAATCACTCCGGTGGTTCTGTGTGGAATATTACATCGGTCGACTATGTTTCGTACTGGTCTAGGGTGTTATAATGAAACACGTTATAACTTTGACACTTATTTTAGTATTACACCTATTTTTAATAACATTTTCGATTCAATCAATTTATATAATTTTTAATAGGGGAAACTACACGTGTGACCATTAAAATATCGTAAAAAATTATTTTGACTATCAATATTTTAATTTAATCAAAGAAACCACCTAACTTTTTAAATAACTCAATCAAGTCACTCTCCGTTAATTTTTAACATAAATGGTGACATATCCATTAATAAAAATGACATAATTATATATTAATGTTCAATACTTACACATTCTATAAATTTAATCTCAATATTAATTTAATTTATTTAACCTTTCAATCTGGATATGTTACATGTTAATATATGGAAATGAGTCACAATAATATGTTTACATGTATCACAATAATATGTTAACAAAGAGTAACTTTAATGAATTATTTAAATAGTTAAGTGGTTTGTTTAATTATACTAAAACATCGATGAATAAAATAATTTTTTTTAGTATATTTTAATAGTCATCGATGAATAAAATAATATTACTTTGATGGGTTGTATTTTAGACTTCTCCTAGTTACACTGTTTCTTTCTTCTCAGCTAAGCTTGGGTCTTTATAAAAAGAGAAAATCGCCTCAGTGACCAAAAATACCTTAGAATATACGATTTTAACCAACTTTTTTTGGATTTGTCAAAATAACCAATAAAATCGCAACGCGATATCAAAATCGCAACGCGATTTAGAAAATCGCAACGTTAAAAAGAAAATCGCAACGGTCAAAAGAAAATCGCAACGCGAGCTTCCAAGTTCGCAACGCGATTTAGAAGAAAATCGCAATGCGATTGATAGAATCGCAATGCGATTTATATAATCGCAATGCGATTGAGAGAGTCGCAACGCGATTTAGAAGAAAATCGCAATGCGACTGAGAGAATCGCAATGCGACTGAGAGAATCGCAATGCGATTTATAGAATCGCAATGCGATTGAGAGAATCGCAACGCGATTTAGAAAATCGCAACGTTAAAAAGAAAATCGCAACGGTCAAAAGAATAGTTAAAAAAATTTTGTTTCTTAAGAATTTTCTCTAAAAAGATAGTATCCGCGCGGACGTGTCGAAGACACGTATTACCACGACCACGACCCGACCCGAGACGAGACGGCGGCGGCGGCGGCGCGCGAGAGTCCCCCTTGTCCTCTTTCACTCAACAAGGAAGTGCAAAATACAAGCCTTAAATACCATTCCCAATAGTATTTCCAATACTATGTGGGATTGAGCATTACCAACACTTGTTCCAAATATCATTATTCTTCATAAGTTATCATCCATTACAATATGAATTAGTCGTGTTAATGAACCAATATACCTCATTAATATATGGTATTGTTGAACAAAAGAATGATGATGATGATCTTATTAAAGACCATCTAATACGAAAGAATCCAATGCATAACCGATACCTTATTTGAAACTAATTCACATAGAGGTTGTACGTGAAAAAAAAATCTTTTACTTTTATAGTAAATATCTATCTCAATAATTTTAATATAAAAAATATATTTTTTATTTAATAATAGAATTATTTCATGTATTTATCAAGTTATAATTTTAAATACTTATTAAAATGAATTAATTTATTATCGATAATTCATATTGTAATGGATGATAACTTATGAAGAATAATGATATTGGGAACAAGTGTTGGTAATGCTCAATCCCACATAGTATTGGAAACACTATTGGGAATGATATTTAAGGCTTGTATTTTGCACTTCCTTGTTGAGTGAAAGAGGACAAGGGGGACTCTCGCGCGCCGCCGCCGCCGCCGTCTCGTCTCGGGTCGGGTCGTGGTCGTGGTCGTGGTCGTGGTAATACGTGTCTTCGACACGTCCGCGCGGATACTATCTTTTTAGAGAAAATTCTTAAGAAACAAATTTTTTTAACTATTCTTTTTAACGTTGCGATTTTCTAAATCGCGTTGCGATTCTCTCAATCGCATTGCGATTCTATAAATCGCATTGCGATTCTCTCAGTCGCATTGCGATTCTCTCAGTCGCATTGCGATTTTCTTCTAAATCGCGTTGCGATTCTCTCAATCGCATTGCGATTATATAAATCGCATTGCGATTCTCTCAGTCGCATTGCGATTTTCTTCTAAATCGCGTTGCGACTCTCTCAATCGCATTGCGATTCTATCAATCGCATTGCGATTTTCTTCTAAATCGCGTTGCGAACTTGGAAGCTCGCGTTGCGATTTTCTTTTGACCGTTGCGATTTTCTTTTTAACGTTGCGATTTTCTAAATCGCGTTGCGATTTTGATATCGCGTTGCGATTTTATTGGTCATTTTGGCAAATCCAAAAAAAGTTGATTAAAATCGTATATTATAAGGTATTTTTGGTCACTGAGGTGATTTTTCTTATAAAAAGGATCCAAAGCTTTTCCAATCAGATAGCTGAATTTGAAGATCTAAAACTGAAAATGGCAGCTGAATTTGAAAGGCGTTGCGAAGGAGGAGGCCAGGGTCCAAGCTCAATTGTAACAATACCCACACCTCCACCATCATCAAGACTATCTGAAAGAAAGCTCAAAGACAAATGCTTTAGGTGCGGGAATCAAGGTCACTGGGCACAAGATTGCCCTTCCACCACTACCCCGACAAAGAATGCTTCGTCTCACCCCTCCACTCCTCCACCGGACTTCCACCACTTCCCCGTGCTGCGTTGCCATTGCGGTGTCGCTTGCACGCTTTGTGTTTCCCGCCGCGACGTTAGTTTTGGCAGAAGGTATTATGCTCGCAACTGCGACTGCGGTGCTGCCAAGGGGAGCTGGTCGGGTCGGAATTTTTACAAATGGTGCGAGGATGTCAAGGCACCTCTGTGCAGGTGCGGCGCCGGAGCATGCACGATCAATTTCCGGGAAGACAGCTTCGGGAACTATGTTAAGTACTATACTTGCCGTATTAGAACTGTATGTTCATTTCTCTCCATCTTTTCCTCCATTTTGGAGACTGGGTGGGCTTGATTTTGATAAAATTTTCATTCTTTTTAGATCCATATCTCTGTTTAGATCCCAAGTTTTGTTAATAGAATTGGGTAAATTTGGTTCTTTTTGTTGCCATGTTTCTGTTTAGCAACTGTGTCATTTGAAGCACTCCAGTAGAAGATCTGGGCATCGAGGATGAATGTCAACTAAACTAATTCTCTTTGTTAGAAATGATGAAATTTAAGTTTTTTTTTGTTTGTTCTTGGGTTATGAATTGTTTTCTTTTTCCCTATATTTTATACCCACAATTAAACTACATTGTTTTGTCATATGCTTGGGAATGCGATTTTGGTTTTCTGGAACAAGATTTTTGGTTCTCATGCTTTGATCTTAAAAAAATCAGATGATGCTAAATCGAGATTCTCCATGATTTTCAATCTTTCATTTCATATAAATGAACATTAATATTAATTCATAGAAGCTCAGGCATGGCATTTTTAGTTATATTTATCTATTTGAATAATGTTGACCATGGAATTTGTTGTTCTTTCTTATTGTTTTGAGATTGATCAGCATATTAGGAATGCTAGTTATCTATTTATCATATCATTTTGCATTTACGATTTATCATTGCTGGAACTGTTCACTGGAGTCTAATAATGATTATTACATAGGGGCATGGATCGTGTGGTTTCTTGCTTTTTGAAAGTTTTCCAAGTTCATTGCCAAGGTCTATGGAGATAGATACAGGACGATCAATATCGACCCCTCAGAATGGGGAGCCACACCACAGTAGGAGTTGCAAGGATGAATGTTCCATACCCAGTTCCTCTAACAGAAAATTTTCTATTCATGAAGTCGAGACAAGCAATTTTGCCGTAGGGAAAGGGCACTGTGTTTCCAGTCCAATGTCTTGGTCTGATATCCGTTCCCGTCAAAAAGAGTTCCAGAATCAGATGTCTGCTGCTAGGAATTCATCAAATGGATGTAGGCATCATTGGCAGGGTGTTTTTTGTGTATTTTTCAGTTGTTGCTTTATGATGTTATGCATTGCAGCTGTTTCATTCTTCATTTGTTGATTTCACTATATCTGGTTCTGCAATCAGGTAAAAGTTTCCAGTTTTGATGACAGGTAAAGCTCTTCAAATCATGGGTCGCTGTGTTCATGGTTGGGTTGGAAGGCTTGCTTTCCCTCCTCCTCGGGTCTTAGCAGATCCTCCTCTTTGGCATTTCTTTAGCTGTAAGTACGATTATAGACATGAATTCTATTGTTTCATCAAACCACAAGCTATAAATTATAACTCTAGTTTTTTTACTTTTTCAACAGGTCTATTACCTTTGTTTGATCCAATTTTAGTTTCTGAATATGCCAATATATCTGTTAGTGGAAGTTCAAGTATAATCCCTCGTGCTTATTCAAGTGCTGAAGTTGATGAAGAATCACAAAATGCGCTTGGGCACGATACTCCATTGCTGGCTGTTCCTTTAGGGACTTCAAGCCAAAAAAGATCGTTTTCTTCTATGCAAGACGGTGTAGACAATCCGATATGGAAGAAAGTTGGAAAGCATCTTCCGAAAGACCTCAGTCTTCTGGTGTCAATGGATCCATCTGATCATAATACCATATTTCTGACAGCGAATGATACTTTTGATGATTTGGCTAGTCTGTCGATTGAGTGTGAACCTTCCGCTGAGTGTTCAACGAGGTCTAATCTGTGCGTATCACAGGTAGCGGGAACGGAGTTAGCTCTCCAAAATAGCTGCAATCAGCTGGAGCCAACCATCCAGCAAAATATTAAACCAGTCGCTCAATTGGCTTCTCATTTTAAGGAAATGCTTCATCAAATTGGGGAACTTGAAACTTTTCTTCTAAATATTGCCAAGGATTTGGGGCAGTCGATGAGAAGCATGCAGGCTACGTACCAAGAGCTGACGAAAGCTTTGAAACTTCCAGAGGCCGAAGTCGAGCAATGCATGGCGGGGACAACAGTAGATGAGGTAAGAATTCACCTTAAGCTCAATATCTATGTTACTCAGACTTGCATACAAGTGTTGTTTATAGATATGTATTCGACACAGATTTTCTTCTTCTTCTTCTTCTTTTAAGTTCTTACCTGTGTTTGGAGGGTCAATCTCTACTCCTAGGATATATGTCGTACATGTTCTCTCCGGAGTACGTAAGTTTGATTTTATTAAACTTACGTGGCGTGATTTTATTAAAGGGACAGGAATGGAGTAGAAAATGGGGCAGAGGATTTGTAGTCATTTGTTCCGTACTTAATCATCATAATTCAAATTTCTATATTTGCTTAAAGAATTTAATACATCAAATCGCTAAACCAATTTATCATGAATTTAATTGTTAAAAAAATATTGTTCTCCAGATATATTAAGTTTAAGTAATTGAATTCATAAAGTATATGAATTATTAATAATTAAGATTAAGAAATAGTAATTAAGTTGTCAACAGCTTTTAAACATTAGACGATTATATGCTAAAGATCTACATAAATCTAATTTATTTCTAAATCAATTGATTGATAATTTATAATTGCCTCTACTGTCGGTGGCCATCATGATATCCACAATGAGAGGTTATTTTTTAACTAGCCTTTATGTGCAATGCTGAATAGGGATGGAGCGATGCGTATATTTTTAAAAACTTAATTTTTTTATTTATTTTAATTATTTTATCAAAAATTTATTTATATTTTATAAATTCATTTTTTTTAATGTTTTCTAAATTCAATGGTTTAACATAACATTTTGAGTTATCCTTAACGTTGAGCTTATTTTTTAATTTTTTTTATTAATATAGTGTAATTATAATTTGTGGTATCTGTTTTAAAAACCCTCAAACGTTTGATAACAAATATTTAAATATGATAGCTTTCCGATTATTTTGGAAGCTTTCATTCATATTATTTTATTTAACTAACATTTTTTAAGTTGGGGTGAAAGTTTAGATTTAAATATAGGATTTTCGATGTCAAGAATTGCACCAGTTTATGTGATATATATATACGAATGTTTTTTAAATCAACAAAATTATTAGATACCTATTTGGTTAGTGAATTGGAAAATTTAATGAATATTAGATAATTTTAACATAGTTATATTAGTGACTTTAAAATTCATGTATATTATATTTCAAATATAAAATTATAATAAGTATCAACTAAACAAAACATAATACACTTCATCATTAAAATTTATATAACAAATAATAATCAAATAACAAATTTTAAATTAATATTCCCAAACATAGTAATTATATGTTACTAATGATATTTATTTTTGTAAAAGTGCTAGTTGTTTTAAGCACAAATTATGAAATTATAAAAGAGATGATATTTGACAGTATACATAGAAACAATGACTCTTATTAACCAGAGTTACCCTTCTCTATCACCTTAACCCAAAGAGAAGCTAGAGAGGATCTGAAATGCATTATGAATTTTCAGGGAACCGTGTATTCCCCGGCATCTCAAAATTCATTTCCACTTGAGCTCTTCCCACTCAAAACCTCATGCAAATGGTCTTGTAAATACTCAAAAACGATTTTTATCATACTTTTGTTGTTATTCTTTTGTTTTCTGAGCTCTTTGAAGTCTCTTGAAATTTTTGAAGCTTTCGAAGTTTCATATCTTTTAACCAATTAAAAACCTTTAACATAACCACGAACAAACCCACATAACCAGTTAAATTTATTATATGGTGTTCAAATCTATTCAGTCTATCAATCTACAAATAATCATTATCACTTAAGGTCTAACATCAATATTAAGTCTCAACGTCTCAACCGTAGCCTAGAGGGAGTTTAATGGCAAGTTCCCCATGATGGTACAGTGGCATATTCTTCGGATTTTGGTTCGATATGTGAGGTTATACAAGTTCATGATGGAGAGTTCATGGTGGGCTTCAATAAACATCTAGGTATAACATTGGTGCTTCAAACGAAATTATGAGGAGTTTATGAGGGCCTTAAGCTAGCTTGGTTTTATTGCCTCGAGAAGATTCAACTCCAAACAAATAATGTGGAGGTCTAGCTTATATCCTCCTCTGATTCAATACCCTCCAGTCCATACTCGCTCAAACGGGCAATTGCTAGACATCTTAGACCACACGTCTACTCTGAACAAGCTTTACGTATGAAATTAATATGATGGCTGGCTTTGCCAAAGTTCCTACTTTCTCGAATGAGTCCTTGGTTATATTTAACACTGTTCCTAATTCTTTAGAGACATCTTCTTAGAGATTTGCATGATCATCGTATCCGCATAATTAGATTAGTTGATATAATGGCTGATGCTTCCTCTTTAATTAAAACGAAAATTAATCATGATCGTTAAACATTAATTTAATTCATGATTTAATTGACATTGGTAGCATTATATCATTTACTTGGAACAGAAGGAATGGATCCGGGCAGTTGATAGATATTTATAGTTAAACCTTCCTTAAACCAATTAGAATCTACGATCTCATCTTTTTAGCAATTAGGGTTGCACAAGGATTGTTGTACGAAAGGAATTATTGTTCACCTAAAAGAGAAGATATATCGACTAATATCATCTTTTGATTAAAAAGATCAACGGTGTAGATCACCCCAAACATTAAAACCTAAAGTGTTGAACACTACATACTAAAAGAACCCTTCTCTATACCGGGACTATTTATTTCAATACTATTCCCTTAAACCCTCCATTGTCGCTCTCTTACCGAGTCAAAGACCCGATTCTTCAGCTCTTCCCTTCTCCTCTTCTTCTGTTCAAAACCCTAGAAATTCTCTCTCTAGGGTATGGTTTCTGGTCCTTTGTTGAATATTTGATCGTTGTTCTCTTTGTTTTTTTTTGGGTTTTTCTGGTTCATGTTTTTTTTTTCTTTTGATTTTTATGCCGATTTTGAACTGCATTGTTGTTTAATGCTCAGCTATTTATTTCTGTAGGATTTTTCTTTCTTTCTTTCTTTTTCCATGACTATTTGCATATTGCTGTGAATTTTAACATAGTTTCTTATTTAACGTTGGTCATTCCGAGACTCTGTTTTTAATACTCTGCTATTTGTTTTTGAAGTTACAATGTCTTATAATTCCGATATGTTAAATCATCGTCCAAGCGATTTTGACTTTATATATATATATGTGTGTGTGTGTGTTCTCTCGTTTCATTTGATTTTGTTAATCCGAGCTGAAAAACTCGACTAAGAAAATATTTCATTGAAAGAGGCTCTTACATTGTTGTTATTTCTTAAAATAAGCTGTATTTTGCTAAACAATTCTGTACCCTTTGTTTTCTTTTACTTTTTCCACCCTGCTTTTCCTCCATTGTTGAGCCCAGAACAATCGAAGGGTGTGCTGATTTCCCGCCTTTTATTGTTAAATTCGAGCATATATTGCTGGGCTTCGTAGTCTTTTCTTGAAGTGCATGTTCTAGACATGGGTATAGGATAATTATATATGCCACTCACACACCCTAATTTGCAGTCACAGTCGTTCTAAGTGGAGCTATTTGGTATTTTTGAAAAGAGAAAGGGAGGTTTTTTCAGATATGACTTAGCTTTTGGTTTTGTGCTCTTTAAGGACAGTTATGTAAGTATCTCCTCCTTTCGAGGTTATCTTTGCATGCTATTGAAAATATTGGTTTCCGGTCGAATGAAAATTTAATTACCCTTGGATTTTTTCCGCATGATTTCATGTTGGTTATCATCTGTATCTGATCTAATATGCTGGTTCGGAAAATTTCTAATATTGGGCTACTAGCTCGTCACATATTTTCTATTTATTTTCTATATATATTCACAGTTTTTTGTCTTTAAGAAATATTTTTCTGTGGAATACTTCCTTGACAAATTAAAATATTTGAAGCTATTCATCAAATCAGGGAAAATGTTTAACTTATAAGATTGTGTTCCTGTGGAGATTCTGACATTTTGCCACACCATAAAATTTGTGTAGTCTTGTACATCTTAGTTGTTTGCATGTTCACTATATTTGTTTGGTAATGCCCTCGCTTATTGATCTCTAGATGGAGAAAGGAAGAGTCCCTGAAGAAGAACTTAAATCCTCTTCTCTGCCTACATTGCCACCAACAATACCATCCAATGTGAAGCCAGAGAGCTTGAAGCCTCCCAAGTATTCTATTGTCAGTAGGGGTGAGGTCGGGACTAGTGGACGAAAGATATCCTTGCTTGCTAATCACTTCAAAGTTTCTGTCAGTGCCACAGATGCTGTATTTTACCAATATACTGTAGGTTTATTTTGTGTTTCCATTCTGTTTTTTCCCCCTGGATGTTCACTTTTATGGATGAATTTTTACTACAATGTGATTTGCAGGTTACCATTTCTTCAGAAGATAGGAGAGTTGTTGAAAACAAACGTATTGGGAGAAAACTTGTTGATAAGCTTTACCAAACATACTCTTCAGAACTTGCTGGAAAAAGATTTGCATATGATGGTGAAAAAAGTTTGTATACAGTGGGTCCTTTGCCACAGAACAAGTTTGAATTTACAATAGTGATGGAGGAATCATTTGCAAAATGGTATATTCTTTCACTTCTGGCTGAACTTAGATTTTAAAGGTGTTAGAATCTTGATATTAAAAGTTTTGTAACAATCACTCACTGTCTGGTTGTGAAACCAGGAATCCTGATGCTGGTGGTGGACCTCCTGAGAGTGGCAAGAGGACAAAGTGTTCTTTCCTGTCAAAGACTTACATAGTAGAACTAAGCTATTCTACTAAAATACCTTTTAAGTCAATATCTCTTGCCCTCAGTGGAGTTGAATCAGATAACAGGTCTCAGGATTCTTTAAGAGTACTCGACATCATCTTGAGGCAACAAGCTGCTGACCGGTATTTAATTTTCTAGGACTTGTTTGGTTCAAGACCTTACCCATTTTCACTGAACCAAATGTGTTTGCCTTGCATATCTGTGTGTACTGCTTGGCCTGTTTTGGTATTTTAGGGGTTGCCTTTTGGTGAGACAATCCTTCTTTCAAGATGATTCAAGGAATTATGTTGATGTTGAAGGAGGTGTATTGGGTCTGCGGGGATTCCACTCCAGTTTTCGTCCCACCCAAGGGGGCTTGTCTCTGAATATGGGTATATTTTCATTTTTATTCATTGTATCTATACTTTGATCCAAAAACTTTTGATTCTTGCCATTATTTTTCATCCTTAAATTTTTGTTGCAGATGTAACTACGACTATGGTTTTAAGGCCTGGACCGGTATTTGAGTTTCTAAAACAGAACCTGAATCTAAAGGATGATCAATTCTGGATGAAGGTAAGAAATCAACAACAGAAAAACTTCATTACTTACCGTCTGAACATTTAAGTTATAAATTCTACAGGCCAAACGAATTTTGAAGAACTTGAGGATTAAAACAGTACACCGTAACATGGAATTCAAAATAGTTGGTCTGAGTGAAAAGCCCTGTTCTGAGCTATAGTATGTGCTCATTTTCTGGACAATTTTTCTTTTCATAACTTCTATCTGTGTTCTTTTTCCATTAAAGATTATTGATTCTGGTTTTATTCCTGTCTTTTATCTCATCTAGCTTCCCGATGAAAGTTAAAAATGGTGACTCTGGTGAGGCACAGACTGTTGAGATCACAGTGTATGAGTATTTCACCAAACATTGTGGAATTGAACTTACATATTCTGCGGACATGCCATGTCTTGCTCTTGGTAAACCAAAGTGTCCCAACTATTTACCACTGGAGGTCTGCCAATTTGTTACTCTTGATAAGCATTGTGTTTTTAATTCATCACACTACACAGTTATCACACGTGTAAGATACTGACATATAATTTTATGGCGTTTTAGCTCTGTTCACTTGTTCCACTCCAGCGGTATACAAAAGCATTATCTTCGAATCAAAGAGCAACCCTGGTAGAAAGATCCAGGCAGAAGCCTCGGGAAAGAATTCAAATTCTTAATGATGTATGTTTCTTTGCCCATATGGCATTAACCTTGTGTTATTGTGTCTTGAATACCACAATTTTGTGCTTCTTCAAACTGGCAGGCTTTGAGAAATAACAAATTCAATGAGAACCCTGTACTCGTTGAATGTGGAATTTCCATAGGTAGGCAATTGACAGAAGTTGATGGTAGGATCCTAGAGACTCCAAGGGTATGTGTTACTGCCACTTTATGTCCGGAGAAAGAGAGAAGTTAACTTTTCCATTGTTTCATCATAATGAGACATCTTTGTTGTCATTAACAGTTAAAGGTTGGTAATCACGAGGACTGCATCCCACGAAATGGACGTTGGAACTTTAACAACAAGGTAGTGTTAAGAGAGATTTTTGTTCAAAACCCATCATTTATGTCACAGTCTACTTTGTTTGTCTAAATTTTACTTGCTAGCTGCTGTGCTTCAAAGTTTGTCTCACTTCTGGTTGTCATACTATGGCATTTGATATAACAGTTTGTGTTAAAATATTTATATATGCATATTCTCTCCATTCCTATGCAGAGACTTCTGGATCCAAAAAGAATTGAACGTTGGATTGGTGTAAACTTCTCTGCTCGTTGTGACCTCAGTAGAATTTCAAGGGATCTAATCAGTTGTGCAAGAAACAAGGGCATTGTAGGTTATTCCATATTTTGGTTATTATGCCGCTATATAACTTGTTTAGTATAATTATTTTCTTATACAAATGTATCCATAAATGAAGGAAATGGAACGCCCACACACACTGATTGAGGAGGACCGACAGCATGCTGCTAAAGCCAGCCCTGCTGCTAGAGTGGAGGCAATGTTTGAGCAGATAATAGCAAAGCTTCCTGGTCCTCCTGACTTCATTCTATGTGTCTTGCCAATGCGAAAAAACTCTGATATATATGGTAAGGCTTTTCGGGTTGGTTGCTTTACTTGATTATTTAACTGACATTTTCCATGCTTTGTCAAGGACCTTGGAAGAAAAAATGTCTTTGTGATATGGGAATTGTCACACAATGCATTTCCCCTGGAAAAATTACTGACCAATACCTCACAAATGTACTACTTAAAATCAATTCAAAGGTAAAATCTTAAATCAACACATTTTCCCTAGAGCAAATAAATAATTGTTTTAACGTTTATGTTGATCTACACCTTGTCTGTCTTCTGTATAGCTTGGAGGAATCAATTCTTTGTTGGAAATAGAGCGACCCTCAAATCTCCCGTTGATTAAAGATACTCCTACATTGATTTTGGGAATGGACGTCTCTCATGGCGCCCCTGGTCGATCAGATGTCCCATCAATAGCTGCAGTAATTAGTTTATGAAATTTTTTAAAGCATTATATATATTCCCCTAATTTTGTGTTTCCATATCGAACTGTTAAATCTACTGTATCTATCAGGTTGTTGGTTCGCTCCATTGGCCCTTGATTTCAAGGTACAGAGCATCTGTGAGAACACAATCACCAAAGATGGAGATGATTGAAGCTTTATATAAACCAACACCAGATGGAAAGGATGATGGTATTATCAGGTAATCTAATAAAATCATATCATGAACTCCCATGTGTTCTGATTTACCTTTAAGGGCTTCGATATTCATTACTAAAGTATTTCATGATGGTTCTGATTTGTTTTTCGCATGATTTGAAAGAATTTCAATTTGTGTGGTTATGTTAGAAACAAGCCCCAGATGAATATTTTAGTCAAATAAACAGTTTTTAACCCCATCTCTGACGTTATTTCTTATATACTTATTTTTAATTTTAAATGCCAGAATGAATAGTCTTACAATGCATTAAAATGTATTTTTCATTTATTAAAACCATATAATGAATTCCCATGTGTTGTGATTTACCTTTATGGGCTTCGATATTCATTACTAAAGTATTTCATGATGGTTCTGATTTATTTTTCGCATGATTTGAAAGAATTTCAATTTGTGTGGTTATGTTATAAACAAGCCCCAGATGAATATTTTAGTCAAATAAACAGTTTTTAACCCCATCTCTGAAGTTATTTCTTATATACTTATTTTTAATTTTAAATGCCAGAATGAATAGTCTTACAATGCATTAAAATGTATTTTTCATTTATTATGTTTTGATGCGCCATTAATACACAACTTTTATCATGAGTTGATACTGACATGATGTATATACCCTTGGCTTCTTTGGTGATGAAAAATTAAAATGAGTAATACGCTTTTAAGGCTAATTTAAATAAAAAATTGAGTTTATTTTCTGTGTTGCAAGGGAATTGCTTCTTGATTTCTATAGGACAAGCGGTTCTCGCAAACCGAAACAGATTATTGTCTTCAGGTATGTACACTTATGCCTATAGATTTGCAGTCATCGTATTACATTATTGTTTGAATGAGTGAGTGAGTTTGAATTTAAATTAATCATCTGCCTTCTGTTTTTTTAAGGAAAATAGAAATAATCCCTCCCCCCCCCCCCCAACAATTAGCCGATCATATTCAGTTTGCTTAAACAATTTGATTACTTATCACTTAATTGCATAAATAGTTATTTTTAAAATGTAATGTTTGTTATGCGCCATTAATACACTCAACTTTTATTATGAGCTGATGATACCAACAGGATGGATGTTAATATAGCCTTCCCATTGTCTTTACTCCTTATTGCTTTCTGAATTACTTTCTTATCACTTAATTGCCTAAATACTTATTTTTAATTTAGGGATGGAGTAAGTGAATCACAGTTTAACCAAGTATTAAACATTGAGCTGGAGCAAATCGTCAAGGTACTAAACCAACATCACCCCGGGAACGGGATATGCGTCCTTTGATGTTTGTAATAAGCTGTGAGAAGTACCTTTGTCCTACTATTTTGTGCAGAACCTTTTTATGTTATCTGATTCTGCAAAGGTTTAGTTGTGGACCTCTTCTTTTCTTGGTAGTAGTTGATTCTTAGATGGTTAAACATCCTTTTTACAGGCATATCAGCTTCTGGGTGATTCCGATGTTCCGAAGTTCACAGTGATAGTTGCCCAGAAGAATCATCATACTAAATTATTCCAAGCTAGTGCCCCTGAAAATGTTCCACCAGGTTTGCTGCTACTGATACTTCATTTTCCTCTTTAGTTGATTTACCGTCTCTCTCTCTCTCTCTCTCTCCTCATCAGGGACGGTTGTGGACACAAAAATTGTGCATCCAAGAAACTATGATTTCTACATGTGTGCTCATGCTGGGATGATTGTAAGCTTTACTGTTTCTAAAAAAAGTCTCTTGAATCTTGCGATGATATGAGAAAGCAGGGTCTTTTTATCGATTAATGGTTACTCTGCCGTTGCATTGTTTCATCTCTAACAGGGAACATCTAGGCCAGCTCATTACCATGTCTTGCTAGACGAGATAGGTTTCTCTCCTAATGACTTGCAGAATCTCATCCATGCTCTTTCCTACGTGTAAGTTTTCGATCTGCCATCTCTAATGTCGTAGAAACATACCAAATGTTTTTAATCATTTATTTTTCTGCAAATGCAGGTACCAAAGAAGCACGACAGCTATCTCGATAGGTTTCGTGGATCCCCCCCCCCCGCGGTTTCACATTCAGCAAGTCATTTGTTTGTATGAATCATCATAATGGTCATTCTCATTATTGTTTCCCTTTGTGCAGTGGCTCCTATTTGTTATGCTCACCATGCTGCACATCAAGTGGGTCAATTTTTGAAGTTTGATGAACTTTCAGAAACATCTTCAGGAAACGTGACATCAGCAGGAAGTATTATAGTTCCAGACCTCCCAAGGCTGAAAAAGAACGTGGCAGCCTCAATGTTCTTCTGTTGACAAGCTGCTGTTAAATACTACAATTCTAGGCTAACCGTCGATAGTTTTGGCTAGGCTAGGTTATACAATAGAAGCTACTTGTGGAATTATTTTTTGTATTTATTAGTTAATTATATTATAGATTTAATTTTTTTGTTAATATTTTAACTCACTTATATAATTGAATTAACACAATTTAATAAAACAAAAAGTTGAATTCGATACTTTTATTTGACACGTGTTTTACACCTTAAAAAAGTATAGATTCATACTATTTTTAAAAAAATACTTTAACCTATAACAATTTACTGTATGGATTTAAAAAAAATACTTTTGTAAGTAGGAAAAAAATTAAATTTACCAGTTATAAAATATAACATTTATATTAAACAATAAAGTATTACTCCATAATGTTTAATATATTATTATTAATATTATAATATTTGAAAAAATTACAAAATAAAAAAAAATCCTAAACATTATTTTTTGCGATTTTCTGTTCCTCCTTTTTCGGAAAAATCTGTTGAAAATCAGAACATAAAATTGCCAAGTCTACCTTATGACCAGCTCAAAGCTGAAGGCAACAAATCTATATAAATATTAATCACTACTCTTTATGAACGGTAAACTCAAAGCAGAGAACACTTTGGATTCACCAAAATCCCACCAAAACAATCAATTAATCGCTGTTCCTTCCATCATTTCATATAAACAACAAAGAAAAGAGAAGCCAATGGCCGTGACAAGAAGAATGATTGTTTTTATCATCGTAACATTGATCCTCGGCTTTTTCTTGGTTCAATCCTGCAATGGCCAAAGTTGTAGCATTGCGAACCCTGACGATAACAAACAACGATCGTGCCTCGATGTACCGGATGACGAAGACGATTTCGACGATACCTACGAGATCGTAGGCAACAAGAAAATTTCGTCTGCGATGATCATCGGAAAATAACCGGACGGCCTGCTGCAGATTTCTACGTTCCAAGCTTTTGGAGAAGCTCCCATGGTTCTAAAAGTTGGCATTTTCTTTTTCTTTAGTTCTTCTGTTGCTTGTTTCAGTTTTTGGATTTGTTTATGCGTTAAATTAGATTTGTAGATTTTTAAAATAAAATCAAATAAAAGTGAGCCTTTTGTTAGACCAAAAACAAAAGTTTTACATATACCACACAGATAAGTTTATTACTTTACTATAATATTAGATTATCTTATTATTGTAGTTACACTGATATAATATTCTTTCTCACATAACATGAATTTCTTTATTTTTTAAAGTAAATAACATGACTACAATGTCGGTTAAAAAATTGAAAACAACATTTTAATGATTAATTTTATCAAAGAAAAACAATAACGGAAAACTGTTTTTATAAATAGATTCACTTAAATTCGATATTAGTTCATAATGCATACATTTACTCCTCAAATCGCATTTGTTAAAATATATTCTAAAAATTTTCATCTAAAAGTATTGAAAGAAATCCAAATGAATGTACTTCTTAAATTCATCTATAAATAATTTTACCTATCAACTAAAAAAATACATATGGTATATGGATTTTTATATTGTATATAATAATATATCGTGTAAGAATAAAAAAAAGGTGTTATGAAATAAGTTTTCATTAAAAATATATAAAAACAAAGTGTTAATATATTAGTCGTAATCGTCCCTTCGGGGAAAAGTCGACTAGTTACGACGATAGGGATTTTTCTTTTGATTTTAAAATAAAATGTTGAGAGCCGCCATTTGATTTTTTTAAGGTGTGATGAGAACACATAAAATAAGGTAATTTTAATAAAAACACTTTATTTTATCATAAATACCAAGTTTTAGTATGTGAAAACTAGAAATCAGGCTCGAGAGTCAGTTATGCGGGAAATGATTAACACCCCCACAACACCCAGGAATTGGTACCTAGTCGATTACCCTATATTTAAAATTGAAAATTTTGAGTTTGGGGTTTTATTTAATTTAAAAATAATTATAGATGATAAATTTGGAAAAAGATGTCGGTTTACTAAGACCAATAACGACGACTCTCGATCATTTCATGCGAAAGCTTCGTTATTGATCTAAGTAAACGAACATTATTAATTTTTTATGAATATTTTCTTATTATTTTAAAATCAAGATGCAATCAAACAATCATTTAAAAACCTTATTATGCTATGTGATTTAATTAAGTTAACCTCTCATTTAAAGTGTCAAATTATGAAAAAAATAAAAAAAAAATCCTAGAGGATTAAACCTGGAAATAGAGGCTCTAATATTAATCTTAATTGATTTTAACTAATTATTTAATCGAATAATTGAAATAGTCCCTCAAACATTTTAATGATAGAGCTAAATCAAATTATTCCCTAAATTAAAGGACTAAAGTGAAAATAAACCTAAAGTGGAGGTTCTAACTAATAACCTAATTAATTATGTCAAATGAATATCTAATTAAAAGTTCAAGGACTAAAATCTGATAAATCTAAATCTAATGGCTAAATTTGAAGTCTAAGGCTCTAATTATGGACTAACTTAAAATAATTAAAACTAAAAAATTAACTCTAAAATCTTATTAATTAAAGAAAGGCCTAAATTTAACAGAATTTAATTAAAAGCAAATAAAATCAAATAAATAAGAAAAATCTACAAAAAATGCATTTAAACATATAAAAAAACAAAACATGCTAAAATTAATAATACAAATTTAATTAACAATAACAAAGTAAATTTAATAAACTAATTAGTACTAGGATTAATTAATAATATAATTAATTTAGGGATTAAATTATAGTTAACAAATAGGTTCAGGGTCCTAATGTGAATAAAACATCAAAGTTCAACATGGTGACTAAATTGACATAAATAAACATTAAGCATTCAAATTGAAATAAAAAAAGGATCAGTGACCGACTTGTAAACACATGACAAAGATTGGATGGTTTTAAAGAAAATAACCCAAAAGTTAATACTAAATGGAAAATAACAATATGAGGACATCAATTTTAAAATGAATGAAATAAACATAAATTAAGGACTATATTGCAATAGGAGAAACTTGCGAAGGAAACGGGGGATTAGACCCTTGAACCAAAATGCATAAATATGGATCCAAAACGACGTCGTTTTACCGAGGGTATAAATGGACTTATCACATTTTCTCATTTTTTTTCTCTTTCTTCTCTCTCACTCTCTTTCTATGTTTTAAAACTCTCTCCCTTCTCTTTATGTTTTCCAGAATCCGGCGAAGAGCTTTGCCACCGACCACAACCAAAGAAAGATTCAAGGATTTCAACCCATTAATTAATTCAAGTACACTTCTGCATTTAATGTTTCTTATTCTTAATTATTTGGCATGATTAGATCCCGGTTAATTTTCATAATTATTTATAATTTTATTTCTAACATTTGTTGGTAAATTTTGGAATGACCATCCAGCTCAGTTGGTAGATCACAATATTTTTAACCTTAAGGTCGTGGGATCGAGTTCCATGGAGGGTATTTCATAATTTGGAGGTCTCCTACGGAAGCTACTCTCTCAACTTAGTGTTGGAGATAACCTACTATCTTATCTCCCCTTATCCCATTACATATAGGAACAAGGGACAACCATTTTTATTTGTTGGTAAAATTTCAACACAAAGAAGGTAAGAATCATCTTCGTAAACTTATGAGCTTCAAAATGAGATGATTAGAGAGGGTTTTACGTTTGAGGCAAATCTAAGAGCATTTAGAACAAATTTATGTTTTAAAATTTGTCTTTAATGTTTATCTTGTCATTCCAAATGATTAGAGCCTTCCCTACTTATTGTTTGATTAATGAAAGCTATCTAGTATTAGAGACAAGGAGAAGATTAGAAAAAGTTCAATAAGAAACCTTCATTTAATGTTAGAGTTAAGATAGTGTATTTCTAATATTTTAATATATCGTGACATTCATAAATGTGATACTTTCTGTATAATATATATTTTGTTGAGTTATGCATGTTTGGGAGCTAAATTAGTGATATTGATGTTGAACATATTATAATTTATGTTAAATGAATGGTTTAATGCATTTTTAAGTGCTTAAATTATACTTTAAATTGAATTTTTGTATCTAAAGATTTTTTTGTTAAAAATAGATAGCTAACGTTTCTAACATTATACTTTTAGATGCTCGGGCATTAATTGTTGTTAAAAAATTATATTAAGTGACACGTGTCACATTATGATAATTTTAAGAATTTTTATTTAAAATAAAAAACAAAAAATATATTTTTTTTATAATTTACAACCCAATTTTTTTTAAATTACAAAAAAATCTTAAAAAATTAAAATATCTTATTCAAACCCATTATCAACCGCCGATTGTCATTTCCAGCCACCATCGTCAATGTTAAATAGTCACCCAGTCGGCGGCGTCCACCCAGTAATCAATCATTGTACTTAATGTCATCTCAATCCTTTATATTTCTAAAATCCCTAATCCTTTAAAACATAATCGCCGATTTATAAAATCTTTAATTTTTGTCGCGTAGATTTACAATTTTTTTTATCTTTACGCGCATTTGAGCTTGGAATCAACTTCACGTGCGCCATGGAATCACCTATTTTGAACTTGGATTTAATTTCAACCAAACTAATTTGATGGTGGGAGGGGGAGGTGTTCACTAGGATGGGAAGGGAGAGGAGTTGATTTTTTTTAAATATATATTTTATATTAAAAAATTTAAAAAATATAACGATAAACACCTATAAATATAATAAAGAAAATATTAAACACTTATTTTTAATAAATAAAAATTAGTTATCAAAAGTCAATTTAATATATAATTTATGCACTTAAAAGTGTATCAAACCTAAATGAATTTATAGTAGTCCTCTAGATTCTATAAAGAGTATGACCTAAATTATAATAGATAAAGAGGTTTTGAGGTGATTTTTGAGCTTTAAATAATTATTTTTAGTTATTGATAGTACATGAATATATGATAGACGTATGGATAAATTGTATCGAGAAGAGAAGGTATCAATGTCTATGTTTGAAATATTGATATTGTTCTTTTCGTATGAATATTAAACTTTGGTATCAATGTCATTAATAATATTAGGGTTTCAATTTGTCAACTCAGTATTGATATTGTCCAAAAATACAAATATCTTAAGGTTGAGTGTAAAAAATATTGCATGGTATGCACGAATTAATTTATCTTAATTGTTAAAGGAATTGTCGTTATTTCTAGATATCATTATCAAATAATTAAAAATATTTAGAATATATATTACTTATAATCACCTTGAATTAATAAAATATTTGCATGATGTATTTATGTGAAAAGAGTATTTTATCCTAAAAACGCACAAAGATGATATATTTATAAAAATATAATATTCACGTAGAATGTTAATGTTGTCAGTCATGATAAACTACCTGTTGAATGTTATCTTCCATGGGAACAGTTGGGATTTCTTTATGCAGAGAGAAGAAGATGAATCCAGCTCAGAACCTCGTAATTTCTTCATATTCTGTTTCTTTTTTTCTGGTCATTCAAATAAATAAGTAAAAGAAATTCCTTTTTTTAGAAAATTTTGTTTCATTTTGTTTTTTTTCTCTCTCTCTCTTATAGAGGAGGAAAAAAAAATGAAGTCTGCGCTTTGCTTTGTTTGCCGTTTTTTTTATTTTCAGCTATCGGGTATTTGAAAAAAAATAAAAAAAAATTGATTTTTTTTTAATATATGAATGGGAAAAGATTGATAGCCATCCAAATGTGTGAGAGCGTTGTCCTCTGGTAGATCCAAACTTGTTTTAAATCAAACCCATTTGAAAGAGTTTGAATTTCTGAGCTTGGAAGCTCCAATTAATTGACCATTTTTCACGGTTTCAAAATTTGTAGTTTTCTCCCATCTCTGACACGACCCTGATAACCCATTTCTTCTTTTCTCTCCATCCATCCATCCATCCATCCATCATCAAAAAAAGAAGGGGAAAATGTATGGTGCCCAAAGCAAAAGGGACATTCCCTTGGATTGGCAGGCACAATTCCCCATCTTAAGGCAAAGCATCCACACGAGGAGAGCAAATATTATTGTCAAATTTCAAGACCTTTATGGGTTCACGGTGGAAGGCAACGTGGATGATGTGAATGTGTTGAATGAGGTGAGAGAAAAGGTGAAGCAACAAGGGCGTGTCTGGTGGGCACTCGAAGCAAGCAAAGGGGCCAATTGGTATTTGAAGCCGCAGGTTTCTTCCGCGATTGGATTGAAATCTTCACTCAAGTTGTCGGGTTTTGTTAATGCCATTGCATTGAAGAAACTTATTAGGAAAGGTATTCCCCCTGTGCTTAGGCCTAAGGTTTGGTTTTCACTTTCCGGTGCCGCCAAGAAGAAGTCGTCGGCGCCTGAAAGCTATTATAATGATTTGTTGAAGGCCGTTGAAGGTATGGACACGCCTGCAACTCGTCAGATTGATCATGTGAGTCCTTGAGTTTTTTTTTCATTTTCTTAATTGGAAATTGTCTTCTTTATTTCCTGGATCTTTGTTATGATTCTTGATCTTGGAGTTGGTGTTTGTCTTGGTCTTTTCTCGAGAGGCTTGTTTGGTTACTTTTTGAATAATGAATTTGGAATTGAAAATGCATAATCTCTTATGATGGACGTAAATGCAAGAATGATTTTGTTTCCATGGACTAATATTAGGAGTAATCCCTTTATAAGGTTTTTGATCTTTTGAAAAAAAGGTTTCTTTTGTAATGAAAATCTCAAGAGGTTCTAATTGAAAACATATGCTGTTGAAAATGCAGAATTATCATGTATTCCAATCAAATTTGAAGATCTTATGGGATTTTCTTGTGTTTTTTCAGCAGTAATTGAATATAAAATAATAATATTTTTTATGAAGATATATACATAATCCTAACAGAGATCAATGGTTTCAAATGTCTTGGATGTGAAGTTCTCAATGGTCTGGGGATTCAAATACAGAAATGAGAATACTGTCATTTGGTCCTATTGAGTCTGAAAAAACTAATAAGTTTATCTTTCAAAAATACTTGTGAAAACTCCTAATGAATGTGAAGGTCTAACACATAATTGTTGACTGGATATATCTAAAATTGTGATTTAGTTTATTGATTAAAGTTTCTGTATATTGAATTATTATGGTGCTTCATTTCTTTTAAATTAGGTTACTTGGTTGAGCCTTTATTTTATTATATGTATTCTTGCAGGACCTTCCACGAACCTTCCCTGGTCACCCATGGTTGGACACAGTAGAGGGCCATGCAGCTCTAAGGCGTGTGCTTCTGGCGTATTCTTTCCGTGATTCTGATGTAGGCTACTGTCAGGTGAGTTCATAAATTTTATGATTGTCTTACAGAATTTGATTGCATCTAATTTTCATGGGGCATAAAGGACCAGTGATCATGCAAGCTTATCACTGCCAAAGTTTTTTGAAGTTTGATATGTAAATCATGCCTTTTTTATTTTTTTTCTACAAGCCCTAATCCACTGAAGAGGAAAATAAAACTTCGATTTCGGTCATTTTGTCCAAGCCTTTACAGTGACTTAAGTTTAGACCTGAATTAAACCCCCATTGTTCCCTGTGTTTCTTTGATTACTTTTGTTATTAATTATTCATATCAAATTTGATGTTGGAATATTAATAAAACTTATCATTCCAAAATACCACTTTCACTTGGTCCCTACTATTGCCAACTTTATTTTTTTGAGTAATCACATATTGATTCTACATTTTACGATTTCATTTTAAGACAAAACTTGTTCTTGGTACAGGGATTAAATTATGTTGCTGCATTATTATTGCTTGTCATGAAAACAGAAGAAGATGTATTTTGGATGCTTGCCGTCCTACTTGAGAACGTTTTAGTTAATGACTGCTATACGAATAACTTATCTGGATGCCATGTTGAGCAAAGGGTTTTCAAGGATTTGCTTGCTAAGAAATGCCCAAGGTATTTTGTGAGAATTAACTTGTTTTAGTTATGAGCATAGTTTTGGTTAAATTAATCTGTTCTAGCTCTACGTTTGGACGGAACTAACCTTATTAAAAACTGAACTAAAACGCTGCAGTATTGCTACTCATTTGGAAGCAATGGGGTTCGATGTCTCACTTGTTGCTACTGAGTGGTTCCTGTGCCTCTTTTCTAAAAGCTTACCTTCAGAGGTAACAACGATTTTACATTACCATATATACCCCTTCTGTTATAATCGATGTCAATTTTATTCGAAGTTGCTTTCTGACTTCTCTCTCTGTTGATCTATTTGTCCAGACGACTATGCGGGTATGGGATGTTCTTTTCTACGAGGGGGCAAAGGTTCTTTTCCATGTAGCTTTGGCTATATTTAAGGTGCCAATGTCTTTTTCATTTGTTCTTTTGCATTCCATTACAAGATAATTTCGTTCAATGTTTAGTCCTAACATGGCCCAGTTGTCAAAACAATGCCGTGGGAGCTAAGTTAAGTTTTGGTTTGCTTTTTCAGATGAATGAACATGAATTGCTTCTAACGCATCAGGTTGGTGACATTATTAATATATTACAGAGAAGTACCCATCACCTTTTTGACCCTGATGAGTTATTGACGGTAAGATTTGTCGTTGTTTGTTCCTCCATTGTTGTTTTTCTTTCGTAGCATTTCGAAACTGCTTTGTCATTCTGTTCGGAGAAGTGAAATGACTAGCAACCCTAGTTCTTGACAGAAACCCGATAGGAGATCATGGCATTTCATAGTTAAATCGAAGGGTCCGGCTCCCATCTATTGCTTTTGTCTGTTATTTTCCATTCCATAGTTAAATCACCATTAACTTGAATGCGTTTTACAGTTATAAGTGTATCTTCCATGTTTGAATGGAAATGATGAGTTTACCCAAAAGTAACAAACCAGATCCTAATCCGAATCGAACATGGTAGATTTCGTTATTTTAGGGGTATGGTCTTGGTGTATGAAAATCTGTATCAATCTTCCTTCACAAACAATCAAATGAAACCTTGCTTTACATGTGTGCAGGTTGCATTTGATATGATGGGATTCATGACGACAAACACGATATCAAAGCAAAGGAAAAAGCAAGAAACGGAGGTAATGAAAGAGCTCGATCTGAGATTGAGAAGGCTAAACTCCATGAATGAGAAATAAAAGTGTGTTGTGTAAAAGACTGGGAGTTTGTACATCAAACATCCTATAATGGAGAAGAAAATGAAAATTACTGGCATGCATTTCTCTATGGGAAGGACAGGTGAAGAGATTGCTTTCTTTTTCCCTATTATATTTTTTCATGATGTTTTAGGCCATAAAAATGTAAAATTTCAATTCATAGTCATTATACATCCCAATGTTCATTTTATTTATTTCCCATTGGTCTTTTTATCAACAAAAAAAAAAAATCTCAGGGTCACTCTTAATAAAACTGTTTGGAGATATCATTCTAAATATCACATTTAATCGGTTCAAAGTGCTTTCATTCTCCACAAATATTATCTTTTAATCGTCCCAGACTATTAAAAAAAAGTATCGGAATAAAAGAAATGGAGAATTAAGCCGAGGTTAAATAGCTGAATTAGATTGCATTTTTTGTGTTTTTCTAGTTGGACTTGCATGGTAATGAGTGAAGTTGGCAATTGAAGCAGTGAAGTCGGATGTCAAAGAAAGATGAGGCAAATGGTGCTCTTGAAGATGCAGCGATGTGGGATTGAAATGAAACCAAATTGGGGTGTGCTTGCTGATTGAGCCATAGATAAAAATGGAGGTTTTTGTTTTTGGTTAGTTTTTGACATAGGACATTCATATGTATTCCTTTAATCAATATTGGTATTTTGAGTTTCACTTAATTTCGAACAAATTGTAAACCCCCCCCCCCCCTCCCCAAAAAAAAAGGGATAAATCTATATGACTTACATGGTTATTTTATCTTATGTGACTTTTCAATAAGAATAAAAATTCTATAAATTTTTTATATAAAAAATCAATTAAATCTTCAATACAAAATAATTATCCAATTTATTCAGAGAAATTTAAAGAAGCACACCTTCAAAATTATTAAAGAATCTATTTTTTTTTAATTTTATAAAATTAAAATAATTGTAAAATATATAAATATTCAAAAATAATAAAATATTTACATATGAAAAATGTTTTAGAATTAATATGGTCATGCTTAGTACAAAACATTAGAGAAAATATTAAAATCAAGAAATCAAGAAAAACCAATGCTGATAATAGATCATAATATTAAATAAAATTAGACGGAAGAAATGGGATAATGAGAAATGGGATAATGATCACTTGGACCATGCTATTCTCATACGCTTAATATCTGGTCCTAAATTCAAATTTTTTATGTTAACTCTTTATTTTATTGACAATGTTTACTCTGAAATTTTATTTATATTCATTTTATATAATTTTTTTATTAATAATACATATATGTGTCCATCTTAAAAAAAATTAAATCCGCTATTAATCCTTATTTCCCGACTCATTATTCTTCGTACCATATCAATCAACTTAAAAAATTGGATTTCATCTGCATAAAATAGGAATCTCTTTTCTTCTTTTTTTTATAAAAGATAAAATTCTCGGTTTATTTACTGGATTTCTCGTAGAGGCAATCGAGTGGCTGACTTCGTGACCAAATCAACTTGTTGTGAGGATTTCTCTCTTCATTTACTAGATTTTCCACCGACTAGAGTTCTAGATTTATTCCGGGAGGATGAATCGGGATCAGTTCATTGTGATGTTTAATGGATAGTGTTTTCGATATTTCTTGTTATGTTTTGTCCTCTTAAGAGTTATGTGTACTATTTTCCTCCATCTAGACTTAGGGAGATTATTAACTAGGCACACATAATTTTTCCCATATATGATTTCTTCATCAATCATATGTACTTTACCCAAAAAAATGAATCCCTTTTCTTTGACTCATCTTAAAATAATTATATTTTCATCTCTTCTTCAACCCCTCAACTTTCTTTCCCCTCTCTTTCCATTAACCATAATCATCATTGCCACCGTCACCATAATCTCTTCACTAAATCTTGTATCATACTCTATGTTTTGTTTTTTCTTCTTAAACGAGTCTAAGTAAGCTAAAATATCTCTTGTCCGAAATAGTCTTTAATTTTCTTATGTCTTTGTTTTTAGCTTCCATGGTTTCAACAATAGTGATAATTAAGTGGTGGTAGAGTGACAATGAAGATTATGATTCACACGTTGAATCAATCTCATCTTTTTTGAACCATAACCGATTGAGTCATATTGGCCATAGTCTTTTGGGTAACCAATTGCCGCAATCACCGTTGTCGATGTTATAGCAATCCCAAAACCGCTCTTTATAGACTTAATATGTATTGAAGATAACATGATTTAGGTTGCAAGCATCAAAAATAAAGAACGAAGGGAAGTGACAGTAGATGAAGAGAAGGGAGAGAAAGTTAGGAGGACGAAAAAGACATAAAAATATAATTTTAATATAGAAATAAAGAAATAATTAAAAATTAAGCTTTAATGATGAGTAAAAAAATTACTGTCATATTTTAATTTAATTAGTCGAGTTCATATCTTACGTGATGAGAAGGGTTCATAAAATAAATTTTTCTACTTTTATGTCAATTTTACATAGAAAGAATTAGTAAACTCATTTAAAGGTTGGTATGTAATTATATCAGATATAAGTTTAAAGCACTTAGTTTTACATATGCGACTATGATTAAATTAGAATTTAATTTGATAGTATTTTAATATAATATTTTGATAACTTTTATTTAAAATAAATTAAAATGAATAAAACAAGGGTATAATTTTTTTTATTTAAAATTTACTTGGTAACCACGTGGTTTTTTTCTTCTTCTAGAAACGAGAACAAGACTTAGGATCAGTCCATATATTATAATTTGATTTAATTTTTGTTCTATAATATAATTATTTTATGTCCTTATAATTTAGTTATATTGTATATAAATCGTTTGGACTATGACTGAATTTTGAAATGTACTGGTAGAGATGTTGATGGCCCGACTGAATTTATGCAGAAGACTTAACACTTTTGATGTTTGCATAAGTCATGAAGTCAACCTAGCTCGAAATGTAAGCCTCAATTTTTGTTCAAGCTCGCACGTATTTGTAAACAACTTGCTCATATTATTTTTATTTTTTAAAATAATTATTCTATTTTTAATTTAATAATTGTATATATTATTATTTTATTAAGATAGTTTTTTACTCTTTTATAGTTGAATAACACAATATAAAGTTGAAACCTTAAACCCACAATAAAAATGGAGATAGGAAAGGAAAAGAAGAGGCATGGTGGGTATATATAATTGTGTTGTATTATGATAGGTATGAGACATTAAATAAAATTTCTAGTGCCGCCTAGGCATCGAAGATTTAAGCACATTACTGAATCTCGTTAAAATTCTTATGTTCTTTTGTTTACTTTTCCCGATTCTTCAACACATTAATAATCTTGCAGTGCAATACAATACAAGTATAAGGTAGCAATTGATTATGGATGATGATCTGAGCTTCATTTGTTGGGTCACCCACTCACAGCCACTTGGCCTTTTAATCGTGAAGTTGCGCTCCATCATTATTTTAGAGGTGGTGGTCCTCTCTTTCTAATCACTATGTGAGAACAATCATCTCCCATTCTTAACTTTTTTCAATTACATTTGCAATTGCATGAATCCAACAATCTATATGAAATAGTTAAAGAGCTTTTTTTTTTTAATATATACTAACTATAATCAATCCATCTTAATTAAAAAATATATATAAATATGAAATTTAAACATTTTTCGTTATGTTTTTGGTTAAATTTTATCTTTGATTTTTCATAAATAATCTTTCCCTTTTCTTTATGAAGGTGAGATCTAATAATAATATCAACCAAGACTGGAACAAGACGTAGAACGACGCCCTTTGCCAATATCTGTCTTGTTTTAAATATAAGGATTAAATTATTATTTTTCAAAAGAGAGCAATGTATCAACTATTACCATTTCTCCATCCTTCTTGCATTGTAAATAAAAATATTGGGGCAAATAGAAGGGATACATGTATATGATAAAATGGGAAACAGGAGATTCGGGCAAAAGGCCATTATAATTGAAAGTTAAAACAGAAGACCTCACATTTTTAACACTAACCTGAATAAACAATACAAATGGTTTCAAAAATCAATGTAAATTTAGAAACCAGCTGTGTGAGGTCCCCATGAATTTAAATTAGACGCAATCAAGTCCTTATCTTAGCAAAACATGACAACCCCACCAGCTAAGACAGCCAAAACCAGCTGCCTCCAATTGCTCAAGTTCACGATCCTATGACATGATGAAGTTGAAGGTGAAGGCTCCGGTGAAGAACTACTTCCTTTGGATTCTGCTGATGGAGAATCCGCTGCAGCTGCAGGGCTAATATCGGGAGCCGGGGCTGGAGCAGGAGTCGGAGGTATGTCGGTACCGAAGATTGCCTTGGGAAGAAGGACCTTATCGACTTGATAGATTGCGACGGGATCGGTTGAGTGTACGGCGCTGGTCACTTTTGTTTTGCTCCATCCAGAATCGAGATGAATGGTGCCAGAATCATCGGTGAAGTTCAACGTGTATTGGCCACCAGCAAGGGTACCAATGGGGCCTTTTGTATTGAGTTCACTGAAGTCAGCAAGGGAATAGAATTTGGGCAAGGCATGGAAAAGGACGACTGATTTAAGCTGATCATCACTTAGATTGGACAATGAAGGCTTTTTAAGACCCTTGAAGGCATTGTCTTTTGGTACAAAAATTGTAATGCCTTCCTCAGTGTTGTTGGCTTGGTTTTGGAAGGTGTCGATGACTTTCGTCAGCTCGAGGTAGTCGAGGAAAGTGTGAAATGGACCAGCCACTGAGAGTAAATCAGTGAGGTTCACATATGCTGGTGCCGGTGTTGGAGTTGGGCTCATTGCGACCAGAGCCGGAGGGCTATTGGCTTGACCATAGGCCAAGGTGGTGCACAAGAGCAATGCACAACAAGTGAACACAAAAATCCTGGAAATTTCCATTTTCCACTCCCCAAATCCTACAATAACCAAATCCTTCACAGTTATATTGCATTTGCAGCTAAAAGGTGAACCCCCCCCCCCCAAAAGTGTACATGACGAACATAACACTAAAATAACATTCACAAGATCAGAATTCAGAACCCATTTTCACAATTTAGATCAGGATGTGAGGGTTCAATCTTCTATGTAAAACTAGTAATTGCAATTGGTAATCAAAACCAAATATGGCAAGTGATGAAAAAGCATATCTTGACAAAACGCTCAAAACTTGATCCAAAACACGTAATTACAGAAAATAACCAAGAACTGGATTCAAAAATATGATCCATTTTCTTGTTCTTGGGCTCATTCACACAAAGTAAAACTTACCAAGTTCCCCAGAAAACTCAAGTAACATTTTCAAGGGAAAAAAACCCCATATCTGCAGAATCAACATCAACAAAAACCCGGGGGGAAAAGATCTAGATTTAACTTTATATTCAATTTAATTGAAAGAAAATGAAGCAGTAGAACTTTTAGCAAGAGCAGATTTCAATGAGAGCAGGCAAAGGAAGGAAATTAACCTGAGCAAGAGGAATTCAGAGAGAATGTTTAGTACTTTGGGTACTAATGTTGCAGATAGGACTTAAGCTGAGATGGTCTATATAAAGATGTGTCTTTTTTGCTTCTAATTAAAGAGCAACAAAGTGAATGTGGGATGGTATTTTATCAAGAAATACAAACTATATTAAATTATGTTAAAATTATTTTATAATTATTTTATAATTATTAAAACTTTAAAATTCATTAAATTTATTTTAAGAAATAATTACTGTAAGTTATAAAATAATAATAGAATTTGATAAATTTAATGATTATTTTATAATAATATGATATATTTAATAATTATTTTATAACAATAGATTAATATTTCGGCATTTTATTTTAGCCTCATTATTTTTCCAAACCAGTGCTCTAAATTTAGATGCCAACAAAAGAAAAGTGCTGCACAACCCAAGACCATATTTTTCCATTTGATTTCATTTTAACTGTGAACACAAAAACAATTAAAAAAAAATGAATGTGAAGTAAATTTGCATCAACGTAAACTGGAAAGAAACATTTGAAATTGAAAATTATAGTAAGAATAATAATATTTGATCAAAAAGAAAAATAGATGTGAGAAAAAGATAAAGCCAACTAACATTGGCTGTCGCTTCGTTGCTGCCATGAGAAGCTGTAAAATTTGTAAATTTCCACCAACAAATATTAGTCCTTTTTATTTATTTATTATTGTTATATATATATATATATATTGATCTTTCTTTTCCAGGAGAAGATAAAAACATTTACAAACCCAAAAGACTGTAAGTAAACCTTAAGTGAAAGGTGGAAGATTTATGTGCAAACAAAATAGATAATTCTTTAAAATTAATTTAAATTTGTATAAATTTAATTATATCTATTATTTTTTTAATAATTCTTTTTATGAAAGAAATAGTTTCTTCATCAAATGATCTTAATTTTTCAATTTATTTTCTCTCCACTATATGAGAGTTAGTTGGGATATAACTTAGACGCAACTTAGAATAGGAAAAGGGTCAGAAAATTTCTTGCAAATTTTTTATTTCTAGTGATAGAAAAATATAAGATTGTGTTTGACTAATCACTGTTGTGCATACTATTATGATCATTTGTTGTTATATCATGAGAGATTGACATCCAATATTATGTAAAGCATTGAAAGAGGACAAATTTATCTTAAGAAAAGTGTTTATATAGACCTCAACAAAAAATCTTCTTCTGTTTATCCAACTGTGCTTATCTGATTCCATGACTATATACGAATAAATAATTTGAAAATTGTTGGAAATTAATTGAGGTGATTCTAGAACAAAGTGGATTAAGTGACAAATTGAGCTGTTTTTTGGACAAGTTCGAAGCTCAACCCAACAAGGCCCAATGAGCTTTTTCTTTCAGCAATAAAAACATAAAATCTGAAAATGACTTTAATATCTCGACCCAAAAATAAAATTCCATCTATACTTTAAATAGAAAACCCAAAAGCGAAAATAAAATCCGATCGCTATTTCTCTCATCATAGGCCCAAATGCCTAGAAATTGATGTCTACACTTATATATCGGATATTTTTGACCCAATAGGGGCATTAGAATAATAATTTAGGGATTTACCCATCATCCAATATTATTTAGGTATTTACGATATTTGCTACAGTGTTAGGTAAACTCGCCATCTCAAGGTGAGGAGTCCGTTTAATGGATCTGAATGAGTGGATATCACGTAGGCTGATATTTTATTATTTTTTTCGTGACTCGTTACGTTAAGATGACGAGTCCGTTTAAAAAATATTTTTTTGATTATTGAAAAAAATTTAAAAATAGAAATTAAAAAAAAGAGGGGAACTAGTCACCTCGAGGTGACGAGTTCCTTCGAATTCAAAAAACTAACCATTTTGTAGTCGTTGGTCAAACAAGCAGTTCTTTAACGGTCACAAAGGAACTCGAGGTGACGAGTTCCATCAAGTTAAATTTTAAAAAAATTAATTAAAATTAATTATATTTTTTATTGAAAGAAAACTGTTTACAAACTAATATAATTTATTTATATTTTCTAAGTTCTTGACGATGCTGATGAGTGGTCGAATGATAATGGCGCAGAGCTCGTCAAGTACGGCGGGGTTGTTGGCCTTGATCGTCGTCGTCTTCATCTTGCCAATGAGGTGTACTTAACACACTCTGAGATCCACCTTCTAAATACGATGATGGGGTTATGGTATTTGACGCTATCATTGTCGTTACTGAATCGACTTGATAGCTATGTTGTTGACTATAAATGATATGATCTCATTCACCCTCAACCACATATTCTGTAGAAGATGTTTGAGTGTGTTGCATTGCATCCCATGAACCTCCAACCCAAGTCGGTTGAGTCTCGACTGAAGTATGATATGTAGGATTTAATCGAAACTTGCCTGAGATGCATTATAATACTATTCAGCTGCAGATGCTGAAGCAGAAGAAAAAGACGCTGATGATTTCTTTTGGACTTGGGGAATCTGGTCTGATGTTGTTCCCATTCTCTCCTATCTTGTGGTGTCGTGAGATATGTATTCCCATTTACTTCACATTTTCGGAGATAGGGAGAATGGACGAAATCTAGGTACAGCGGTGTAATATCGTACCATGGGGGAGCGATAGGTGTCGCTGATTCCATAGCTCGATATAGTCAGCGTGCTTCGCCGACCAATTTTTGGTATGTTTCCCACACGTATCAATTCTCTGGAGCGGTCCATCTTAACGAATTACATAGGAATCGACTGATGTGACACATGCTATCGCAGAACTCTATTAGCATCGTGCCACTCAACAATCACAAAATGTAATAACGGCGTAGCGACACACCATAAATCGACTCCCTAAAAAAATTGTGGTGGAAATAATTGGTAGATCTTGTCATCAGCATACAGAAGCCAATAAAATTTTAAATATTAAATATCAAAGTTAATATGTATAAAGTTTAAAAATATATCTGAAAAAATAATAAAAGAACAAATGTATATCGCATATCGACCGTCGATGTCGATCCTCATCCGTATATCTTTTGCAGTGGCACCAGACAACTTCGTCTCGGTTATTTTATGGCGTTATCTAAAATATTTAAAAATTGATTAAAAAATTATTTCAAATTTAAAAACAAAGTTAAAAAAATTACATTCCAACAAGTGGAAACTCGACCGGGGTTGTTGTAATCGACATAAAAAATGGGAAACTATATCATGCCCACGATGGTAACAATATTAGACAGTTTGCTACATCGTATTTTCGACCCCGCCCGACAATTACAGCCTTACAAAGCTCTCGATACATAAAGGATAAAATCGCCAAGCCCCAACTGGTATTGCAACACTCAACAAAGTCATTTAATATTTGAAGATACTGTGTGTGCACCAAATTACCAGACTTATCTGGTAGTAATATCCCTCAGATCAGTTGGAGAAGATATACTCGAGATGCAAAAATAACCTCGTCCTCGGTAAAGTCGTTAGTCACTTGGAATTTAGACTCCAACCATGTCATCCGTACCCGATACCATCGATGCACTCAGATGGTGACACATTTTCCAAAACTTCGTAAACCAACGTTTTGGGTTCGTAATTATTCTACCTCACCATGGGGGCTCCATTCACAGGAACACTGAGTTGGTAAGCAACGTCTTCCAAAGTAATTATCGCTTCACCACTCGGGAAATAGAAGGTGTGCGTCTCGAGCTGATGTTCGATCAGAGTCTGAATCAACCTCGGGTACACCTTGAAGCCACATACAAATATGACAAGAAAAAGATCGGATTGTTGAAGATATATCAACATCCGCAGATACGGATCTCTTGCAGTCATCATGCGCTGACGAATACTCCGTTATTCTTTCGGTCGGAATTCGATCGACTAAATATGAACGTTGTTGAGACACAACATTTCTATATATTTGACATTTGATTTTATTATATTATTGATTGCCATATTTAATCTAGACCCGAAATTATCCGACTCGAAATGGCCCTACCCAAACCTGATCCAAATGACCCGTTTACCACCTCTATATATTTGACATTTGATTTTATTATATTATTGATTGACATATTTAAATATTTACAACATCGTATGAAAAAATTATATGGACATGCACGCTAATATTAATAAGGTTGAACTATATTTTCTATTAGTTGTCATGTACAACTAATAATAGTTGTATAATGCATTGTAAGTTGGCAACAATAATGGTTCATAGTTGGCACTAATAATGGTTGAAAAGTTACATGGAAAAATCTCACATTTAGTAATTGTAATTTAGGGTATTTTCAAGATTAGTCCTTAAAGCTTCTATTAAAACACCCTAGCTCATTTAGCTTCAAAACCATCCTAAAGCATTCTAGCTTTCTTCCAACACTAGAGAGAATTTAAAGAGTTTATTGAGAGTTGTTTTCTCATTTTTATCAAGAGAGAATTATCATTGTTTTCTCCTTGGTAAATTGAGAGAAGTTGTAATTTATATTTTCTCATAGTGGAATTCTTCTACCGTTGCCCGGGGTTTTTACCTTATATTATTTAGAGGTTTTCCACGTAAATTATGTGTCTCTTTTATCTTTATTTTTATTTTCTCAAATTATCAATTGTGATTTTGCTTTATTCAATAGTCGTCTTCCACAATAATTGGTATCAGAACCATATTTGAGTGTGTAATATCTGTTTATTGTCTTTGTGGTTGCCACCAAAAGATGGATCCTCCAACATAAGAAAGTAAGAAGGTATTACCCATTCTTTGAAGGTTCCAGAGAACTATTCACGATAGTGAAATAATGGGAGTTATCCGTAATAGAAACTATGGCAACAAAATTTGATATTGAGAGAAATTTATCATTGTGGAAATTGAAGATGAAGGCCATCCTGAGGAAAGAAGGTTGTCTAGCAGCTATTAGTGAAAAGCCGGTAGATTTCACATACAAAAACAAATGGATCGAAATGGACGGGAATGCTATGACAAACTTTCATCTAGCATTAGCAGATGAAGTATTGTCAAGCATCGAGGAAAAGAAGACAACTAAGAAGATATGGGATCATCTCACCAAATTGTACGAGGCCACATCGTTGCACAATAAAA